AAAAAAAAAAAAAAAAAAAAAAATCGCGCGTGACGATTCCTCGATTCCTCGTTCGTACAATGATCAGCTACTTCTACTTGCCGGATAGTAGCTTGCATCGGCCGGTTACCACTAGTCCTGTTCCCGGGTGGTTGTTTTAAAACGACCCACACTCATCGACTACCTCAACCTACTGTGATACTTGTGATCGTATCCTGTCTTCGTGCCGCACAGTTTCTTATCGAAGCGCAGAATGTGCACCGTCTTGGTGGTGGAAAGCTCCCCAAAAGCGTGATGCTGACTTGTGGGAAGGAAATGAGAAGGGGAGGGAACCGGGAGAGGGAGAGTTGAAAGGAGACGAGAGAGAGAGACAGAGAGAGAAGTGGAGGAAAGTTATCTTATCTTACGTTATATGCTCGCCAGGTGAGCGAGAAGAGTTAGCGGACGCAAAAGAAGAAGGAGGAGACGAAGGAGGAGGCGTAGCTCCCGCGTCCATGTCTTACTTTCCTTTCTCTAAACGAGCTGCACGCTTGTTGCCCTCGATTCGAGACATCGATTGTGTCCCGCCTGTCTCCGAAATACGCGCCGAAAATTCGCCGCTCGGCAAATCCGACAATCAACTCTTTTTTTTTCTTTGCCACCTTTCGCTTATACTTTCAAAGAAAACGACACTGTGTCCGGACCATTCCAGCACGCGATATCGATCGGAGATCTTTTTTTGCAAAGGGACATTTGCAAAGGTACGAAAGACAAGCGTTATAAATTCGTTCAATGTCCGAGAAAAAATCGTGCAATATTATTATCTCCTTACGATAATTTAAAAAAAAAAAAAAAAAATTCTTCAGGATTAAACGATTATAATTCATCTATCAATTGTATACAAATCAACTTGCATATTTTTTCGAGTAAAATATTTCAAGCGCTGCAGCTCTCATGAAAGCGCACACATTGCAACATTCTTTATGCTACATTTCCTTTACAAAATTATAAACAAAATGCATAGTACAAAATCTTAAAATTTGTTCAATCAGATTTTGCATTTGTTACGCAAGTTATTCATAACATTTAGGCCTATTATATAAGTTATGAAAGCTAGATATAATCTGTTTGATACTATAACTGATTGCATAATTGATTTGTGTACACATACTTGGTCGATATTGGCATGAACGAGGAATCAATAATTCACAAGATTTCGTTCATAAGACATCACGCGGTAATTAGTTCGATGCGGTTGTTTATTTTTTTTTATAAATTCCTGATTGCGATGGTCGATAATGTTCGGTTGTCAACCAGCAGACCACGGTAACGCAACAATGAAAAAGTGCATTGCAAATTTTGTCTGACTTGAAATCAATTTTGTTCTGCGATAGTTAATCGCGGAAATTAAAATATCGCAAGAAATTATGACAGTAACTTTGATGACAAGAACTTATGCCATTTGCGGTTATTTAATTGCATGTTTTGCATTATTTTGCTAATGAATACCAAAAATAAAAAATATTAGAATCAATTGATATTGTAAAATGCATTTGAAAATTCTAATTGCGCGCAAAAGTAATTAAAATATATCTCTATGATTATTGAACTTTTATATAAAAAAATTAAATTTTACCTAATAGTTACATCGCATTTTTAGATTAATTCTAATTAAATAAAAATATTACTTTTATCAATATTAAATTCTAATTAATTAAATAATTATATTGAATATAGTAAACAATATAATTATGAGACTTTTAAATTAAAAAATATTTTAATTTAATAGTTAAATTAGTAATATAAATAATCAACATAAAATGATTCACAAATATTATTCCATTATAGCACCTCTTTTATATTATATTTTTTTCTATAAAATGCTTATAAAATATAATAGTTTATCTATCTTTTTTTATACGCTTTTCACTTTTCTGTGCAACCCAAAAGTTTTGCTATCGTATATAGAGCACATTCCGGGACGATAGTCAGCGACTTACGAAAGAGAGATGTTTAGAATGTATTGCCCGAGGCGACATATCTATCTTCATTCTATAATAAAGAGACGTCATGTATGTATGGCTATAAATACATATATCGTTCATCGCAAAAAAATCGATTTGATGTACTAGACGAGTAGCTCATGATACTTCATATATATATTATGAAATCTCCATTTCTCACCATTTAAAATTGCAAACAAGTTTCGAAAAATGATTGTGTTTTTCTCGGTTGCGATAAATTACTATCAAATTGATTTTTCTATTATCACATATCAATCTTCGAGCGCACAAAATCTTCTTTACATTTGCGAGTATAGAAAGGTAGAAAACATTTTTAAACAGTATTATTACACTTCAAAGTAAAAATATTTGATAAACGTTAATACAAAATAGTAATACAGATAAAAATAAAATACAAGAATAAATAATTTAACAAAATTTGAATTTGTAAAATACTTTGTTGAACAAAATGACGAGCATGTGCGAAAATTAATAATTTTGTTATATGGATACTACAATTTAATTAATTCGATATTGTAAACAAATGTCAAGTTCTATAGACATAATGACGTTTATTCTCAAATTTTTTATAAGCTATTTATAAGATAATAAAATAATTTGCTTTTATAGATTTTTATTTTTTTTCGCGAATCAGATCTTAAAAGCAGTACATAACATACACATGTTACTAATAATAGTTTACTAATAATACAGTAAATGAAGCGGATTTGTTTTGAAATGAAGAGGATTTGTTTTGAAATGAACACCCTATACTGTGGCGCTTATTAATTAAGCTTGCACGATAAATTGTACATTGTGCAAAGGGACCAATTGTATATAATTGAGTCTTGAATTGATATGGAATTGAATTGTCTTAATGGTACACAAGAAAATTGCATATAGAACTGTGTTTCCTTTTCCCGATTTAATAACTCGTTTCTCCGCGACTTCGTCCGCGAATAAATAATTCAACCAGAATGTTAACTAACATCCTTTCGATCATACATATACACGCACACACGAATAAACGACAATAAACAAGAAATCGAATGCAGAATATTTCTTACATAGAGCAATGCTTTAAAAGTATTCATTATATTTCGCGAAGTGAAACTAGAATGAAACCATTATAACTGTTTTTTTTTTTAAGTAGTAAAATTCTGATGAAAAATATGACATTTTTTATTCATAATATTTATTTAAAATTATTCTTAGTTTAATTAAAACTTTTTCTGAAACTTTACTTGGTGAAAAGATCTTTAATTTTTAATATTACTATCTACTATATAATTAAGCCTCAATTTAACATATTAATTAAAAAACAAATTATCCGCAAATTTATTAAAAAATCTCTTTTGAATTTTTATTACAACTTTGCAAACTATTTCATATATACATATTAATTTGATGTATATGCAAACAAATTTATGTGTTTGTGTTAGGATTACATAATAATCTTCCATCGTGAATTTTTACACGGTACTTGATCACTTGGCTGTGAATACGTGAAAAACTTTATCTGTAATTGCTATGTTTTAATTACAAGATTGATAGCCTGCTGATAGAAAAAGGAACAATCGTACTTAAACGAGCATTTGCGACATGAAATTATAAGTATGCAAGACAAACAGATATGGTTCTATAACGAGATAGAGAGAACAATTAAATGATTGACGCAACTGTAGCATTCCCGCGGATAATAAGTGAGAGCCGCACACCTCGAGAGAATTTACACGGTGCGTTGACTCTCCTCGCGCGTGTGAATAATATATGGATGTGGAACGGAGTGTAAAGTTTAACGTGCTACCTTTAATTCGACAAACTTGTTTTTACGTAACATCGTTGGCAGTATTTCGATATGCATCGAAGCCTGGCGAAAATGTCAAATTCGCTGACGAGCTTAAGAAAGCTCTCATAAAGCCACGAAAAATAGAATAAAAAGAGCTTACGACAAAATCGCACTTATAGTTCAAGGATATGAGCAGGTTTATTGCAAGTTGCACTATCTTCCGTGCAATACTAGCTCATGTGCGTTCTTTTTACATAAATATATCGCATAAAATTTCTCTCGGTCATCATATATACTTGAAAGATGTTTATACGATAATCAAGTATCATATAATGTAGTAAAAATATTAAGATATTTGGCACTAAAATTTTTTCTTTATTTTATTTTATACTTTATTTCATATATTTTTTTACAATTTGATTCTCATTATTTCAAATATTATAGTGAAGAGATAACACAAATGAAATATATTCGAGTATTTATTGCATTCTGCGAATGTTGTATCA